AAAACCATCCTGAGCTGGTGTATTGGTTAAGAGCACTGGCTGCTTTTCCAGAGGACCTGGGTTTAATTCCCAGCACACACATCGCAGCTCACGACTGTCTTCTGACACCTTCACACAGACATACATGTAGGCAAAACACCAGTAAACATAAAATAAAAATAAATTATATGAAAGAGAGGAAAAAAAACATCCCTGGCCCTCCAAAACAGATTTAATAATTTTTTAGATTTATTTAATTTATGCATACGAGGTTCTGTGTGCATGTATGTACGTGCACCACATGTGTGCCTAGGCCCCATGCATCTGCTAGAACTGAAGTTAAGGATGAACCCAGGTCCTTTGCAAAAGCAACAAGTACTCTTAACTTCTGAGCCATCTCTCCAGCCCCAGGTTTAAAAATTTTATCTTAATTCTTGCTTAAGTAAATCCTGTTTGTTGCTATTTGAGATGAGGACTTATTTGTATTCCAGGCTTTTCTGGAATTTATGTGTGGGCCTGGCTGGCCTTGAGCTCACAGTGATCTTCCTGCTCCAGCCTTCTGAGTGCTGAAACTGTAGTCAAAGAGCTATTCTTTCTTCTTTTTCTTTCTTCTTTTTCTTTTTCTTTTTTTTTTTTTTGGTTTTTCGAGACAGGGTTTCTCTGTGTAGCTTTGCACCTTTCCTGGAACTCACTTTGGAGACTAGGCTGGCCTCGAACTCACAGAGATCTGCCTGCCTCTGCCTCCCGAGTGCTGGGATTAAAGGCGTGCGCCACCACTGCCTGGCTCCTCTTGCTTTTGAAGGCTGGCCTTGAACTCCTGGAACTCCTGCCTCTACCTCTCCATTGCTGGAATTACAGGTATGCGTCACACAGCTGCCTTCTGGTTTGTTCAAATTAGGATTTGTGTACATGCTCATACTGTGTGCTTTTACATAGGAAACTCATAAGGAAGCCTTTCTCATTAAGTCCTTAAAGACCTCAGACTCAGTCCCCCTACTGTTATCAATGGCATCTGTCTGGGTACCTCACTTTGCCCTGCTTCAGGCTGCTTGTTTCAGAACCTAAGGAAGGACTAGTCTGCCATCCAACATACAGCGCTCTTCCCGGGGCAGTGCTTGGAAGGGTTCAGTCCCTGTGAGATGCCATGACCCACAGTCCCTGCCACCAAATCCGGAACTGTGCTTTCCCAACCTGTGGCCAGGTGAATGGTCCATAAGCATGGCACAGCATCTAGCAGCCACAGAGTGGCAGCAGCTGTAAACCAACCTTTCCTTCTCTCTTCCAGGGTCCCCGGCATGGTGCTCAAGGCCTTCTTCCCCACATGCTGTGCCTCAGCAGACAGTGGACTACTGGTGGGACGGTGGGTCCCGGAGCAGAGGAGTGCTGTGATCCTGGCTGTGGTGCACTTTCCCTTCATCCCCATCCAAGTCAAGGAGCTCCTGGCCCAGGTGCAGAAGACCAGCCAAGTACAAGTGGCTGTGCTAGGCACCTGGTGCCACCGTCAGCAGGAACCCGAGGAGAGCCTGGGGCACTTCCTAGAGGGCCTGGGTGCCATCTTCTCCCATGATCCCTGGTTGCAGCTGTGCCGGGAAAGGGGTACCAGGTTCTGGAGCTGCAAGGCCACTTACCGTCAGGTGTCTGACACTCCGGCCACTGAAGACCAGGTCATGCTCATCTTCTACGATCAGCGCAAGTTGCTGCTCTCCTGGCTGCATCCACCAGCAGTACTGCCTGGCTGCCAGGGTGGAGAGACCACACCCAGCACAGGAGGCCTAGCTGACATCTTTGACACTGTGGCACGAAGTGAGGTGCTCTTCCGAAATGACCAGTTTGTTGAGGTCCCGGTACGCCTAAGCCACTGGCAGTCAGAGGGCGTGGAGGCCAGCATCCTCGTGGAGTTGGCAAAGCGGGCCTCGGGGCCTGTCTGCTGGCTGCTGACCTCTCTGCTGTCTCTGCTCTCAGCTGCTAGTGCTTGCCGGTAGGTGCATCAGACAGGAAGGGTAGAGCAAGGAGTTGGTCCCATGAGACCCATAGGCTCTCCCTTCGATGTGTAGAGACATTGACAGCCAGAGAGTCCTTCCTGAGGTGTGTGTTGTTCTGGAACCCAGTTCTCATCTTACCTTTGCATCTCAAAGGATGGCGTAGTAGAGGCTGTTGTGTCCCTTCTGGGTCAGTATTTTTTATCTGGAGCCTATGATTGTGTGAGGCCCATCTGTTCAGGTATAGATGCTTCACAGATGCACCACAGATGCTTCAAGTGCCTAAAAAAGAAATCCGATGAACTGGGTTATTGTACCTTTAAAAAAATTTATATATATGAATGTTTACCTGCATTTATATATGTGTATCATGTGTGTCCCTAGTCAGAAGAGGGGTCAGATCCCCTGGAACTGGAGTTACAGATGACTCTGAGCCACCGTGTGGGTGCTGGGAATTAAGCCTGCATTTTCTGTAAGAGGAACAAGTGTTCCAAACCATTGCACCGTCTCTTCGGCTCATCTTACTATTGTTTTGAGAGATGGTCTCAGCTATGTAGCCTTGGCTGGCCTGCAACTCCCTATGTAGACCAGGCTGGCCTCAAACTCTGCCTTTCTCTGCCTCTGGGAGTGCATGGATTGAAGGCCAATATCTGCCCTGCCTGCAGTTGTTTGACCTGTGAGGACACAGAGCTGCCCACCCCCTGCTTCTCTGTCCCTGTGGGCCCCCCCGGGCCCCCCCCCCCCCCCCGACCACACACAGCTGGCTTCAGCTGCCGATGCATTTCCTCTCTAGGCCAGTCAGTTTCAGTTGCTTGGAGTGGTGGTCCCGACCTAGGCTCTCTAGAATCATGGGTTGCTGGCCTGGTGAGAGATTTAGAAAAGTCCCCAAGTCCTGGGAATGCTGGGTAGCGCCATAGTTTAGCTTGTGAATGGGAAATGGGAGCCTGGGGGTTTTACAAATGTTCTCTCTTAGCTTCTCAACTCTGCCTCTCTTTTTGAACTAATACAGTTTTTATGTATCTCAAGCTGGGTACAAACTTACTGTGTAGCCATAGATAACCTTTACCTTTAATTTTTTGGGACAGTGTGTCACTATGTAGTTCTGGCTGTCCTGAACTCACTCTGTAGACCAACCAGCCTGACTTTGAACTCACATGAGCTCTCTGGACTAAGATGATGTTTTTTTCTTGGTGCTGCCGCCCATAAGGAACAGCTGTATTTCTCCCTCAGCTCTCCCCTCCCTTTACATCTACAAACTGGTGTCTGGTATGGGGTCTGGCTGACCTTGCCACTTTCCAGAGGCTCTGGGGACCTTTGGATACTTTCCCAGAAAGGGAGCCCTGGGTAACCTATGAGGATACACTTTAGGTTGCAGGAGCTGCTGGCTGTCTTGATGTATGGTGTAGACTGTAACAACCTTGGAATTACTAAGGTGGAGGTGTATCTGGGCCCCAGTGCTGTTACATGAGAGAAGGCCCCAGTTCTCTTTATCTTCTCAAGGGAGTCAAGAAAGCTGAAGAGATGATGCTTGTGTACTGATTGCAGGCACCAGCCTAGCCGTCAAGCCAGAGTCGTACGTAGGAGTACTGGTGTACAGGCAAGGCTGTCACTATAGAGTCAAGCTCCTCTGCCTTGCGTGACTTTGTGCCCTTCCCAAACAGCCTCAAGGGTATTGTGAGCCTGGGCCATCAAGGACTGCCCTGGAGTCTGGAGTTTCATGTGGCCATTGGGTGGTCACTACACTTGGCTATTTGAAAGGGAAGGCTCTGTTGAGTACAGTTCTTAGAACTGACTCAAAGCTCCCCCGCCCCCAGGTTACACACACACAGCTCTGCATGTCCCAGGAGCCCTTGGGTCCCTCCTACCTCCAGCAAGGGCTCTAAATGCAAATATAGCTCCTGCTGCTGCTACTGTTCTCTGCGCTCCTCAACTCACGTTCCGGCTCCCGAGTGCAGCCTGATTGCTGTCAGGCGCTTCTCACCATGTGAGCATCTGTGGGAACATCTCCATGCCTCCTTTGTAAGGAATTCAGGCTTACTAGGAAGCCCAGCACTTTGCTGGGCTGGGTTACCATCTAGTAGGCAGGGCAAGTGCTGGTGGGCGGGAGGTGACCTAATCCCCACTTGTTCTGTAGACCAAGATGAGTGAGGTCCACAAACTCACAGAGATCCACCTGTCTCTGCCTCCTGAGTGCTGGGATTAAAGGCGTGCACTCCCCCCCCCCCAATTGGGTTTTTTAATGTTTTGTTTTTGAGACTGGGTAGTCCTGATCAAGTTGGCCTTGAACTCGGAGATCTGTCTGCCTCCTGAGTACTGGTATTAAAGGCACATACCACTACTCCTGGCTCACTTTTCAGGCATTTTGAGACTCATCTTTGTATTGGCTGGTGAGCTCAAGTATGCCTGAGGCTCTGTGAGGGGTCCTGCTCTGTAGTGACTGTCACCACAGTGAGGGAGGGCGTCTCAGGAGGGTGCTGTGCATTTCACACTTAGGCATCCTTGCTTGGCCATGTTGGCCTTCATACTTGCCTGGGCCTTGCTGAGTTTTGGAGTGGAACCAAAGGGCTCAGGCTGAGTAGATCTGGCCCTTTCTTTCTAGAGTGAGGGACCTTGGCTGGAAAACCAAGGAACTAAAGGCTGGAGCTGTCAGTCTCAGCCCTTCTCTCCTCCCCAGGCTGTGGAAGCTCTGGCCCCTTTCTTTCATCAGAAGCAAGCTCTCCACCTGTGAACAGCTCCAGCACCGCCTCAAACACCTCTCACTTATCTTTAGCACCGAGAAAGCCCAGAGTCCCATGCAGCTGATGAGGTATGGTCTCCTTTACAAGAAGGGTGGTATGGCCCAGCCCCTTCTCCACCTCTGCTCTGCACTGTGCCTCCAGCCAGGCCTCTCTTGGGTCCCAGGCTGTGTCTGGCTGTCTCTCAGCTGCTGTCCCTGACATTTCTCCCAGGAAAGCCAACATGCTGGTGTCTGTGCTACTGGATGTGGTCCTTGGCCTGCTGCTGCTCTCCTGGCTCCACAGCAACAACCGGATTGGACAGCTGGCCAACGCCCTGGTCCCCGTGGCTGATGTGAGTAGATCTGGATGATGCCCAGTTTCCTGAGGGTGGGGAATCCTCCTGGGCAGTCCTTCAGCTGGCAGCAGCAACTCTTCCCTGTCCTCACCCGAGAGACACAGCCCCTGGCCCTAGCCTGAGACATTCCCTAGGTGCTCTTGGTACCTGTGTCTCTCAGAGCTGCATTGGCCAAGTGCCTGTTGCCCCTTCTTGAAGGTGGCAGTGTCTGGGGGCCACTTGTGGGTGAGGCTTTTGTGGGCTCATTTTCTGTGCTGGGCTGCTGTTCCAGATGAAAGCCAGCCTTAAGTCACTACAGTGCTCTGGGCTGCTCTTCCAGATGAAAGCCAGCCTTAAGACACTACAGTGCTCTGGGCTGTTGTTGGGCTGGCCAGACACTACTCCCAGATTGCTCTTACCCTGGAAACAAGAGACACGAGCCTGTCCTCTCTTCTCCCAGGGTTCCCCTGCATCATGTGCAGCATGTCCATGCTGGTCCCTTCCTGTTCTTCTGGACTCCTCCGTCTCCTCATTTCCACCTCACCTCAGAGCTTTCAGATCTCTATCTCATCTTCAGTAGAGCTAAAGCCCTCTCTCCCCTGTGGGAGCCTTGAGGGTCTCCCCATGAGCACAGTCTCTGCTCCATCAGTGTAGATGGATGGGAGGTCTGTTCGCTGCCTTGCCAGGATCTAGAGGCAGCAGTAGGCTCCTCTCAGCATCCTGAATTGTAAGATAGGTGGAGGTCATCCCAGTAGGAAAGAGAAGCTGGGGTTGGGGCGGAAGGGGTCAGGCTCTTTCTATATTCTCTTTCTTGGCCAGCCTTGTCTGAATCCTCCTTTTTGCAAAATTGCAAAAAAAAAAAAAAACATAAATATTTAATTAAAAAGTGGAGTCTTTTCCTGCTGCCAGGCTTTTATCCTTTAAATATTAAATAAGCCCTATTTATAAAGAAGGTTTTGTTCTCTTCCCTGGTGGTCCTGAGGCTCTTGCACAGGGTTGCAGGAGGCTTTGGGAAGAGCGTATAGGGATACAGGAGTCACTCCTGAGGCTTCACCTTGGTGAGCAGGAAGAGCATCCCTTAGCTTCCTTACTTCCCATCTGTGCTCAGTGACTGGCACTCCATTCTGCAGCCAGGACCCGTTTTCCTGCTTCCTGTTGAAGTCTCTGTGTTGTTTGTGGTACTCAATTAAGTCTGTCTTGCTCTCCAGGGCCCCACCTGCTCCCCGAGTCCCTGATGGGGTTGACACCCTCTCAGTCACCCAGGATGGCTGTCCATTGTTGGATGACCTTAACCTCTGCTAGCAAGTGGCAAGGAGAGGCCTTTGACCGGGGGCTTCAGTATTCTCAAGCTTCCCTGCATGGTTTGAATTGAGCGAGGGTCAATGCAGCCTCAGCCATCCCCAGGTGTCCTGGGCTTAGGGCTCGAGTTTCAGGGCTCAAGTGGAAGATAGTGAACATGAACTTCTCAGGCTGAGGCAGATGTCCCTGGGGGACACATGCCCAAGGAATTGGTTTATGGACACTAGCCTGTTGGAAGATGCCTCAGACCAGGATCTTAGAAATCATCTGTGACCAGGAGTCAGGGGTCCAGTGACCAGACAAATTTGGGAAATACTGCCTCTGTACAATGTTAGAAGACAATGATTTGCCAGGAGTGGCGGCACACTCCCTTAATTCCAGCACTTGGGAGGTAGAGGCTGGCGGATCTCTGAGTTTGAGGCCAGCCTGATCCATATAGTGAGTTCCAGGACAGCCAGGGCTACATAGTAAGACCTAGCCACCCGTGCCCCCCCCCCTCCAAAAAAAAAAGACAACTATTCTGAACTTTGGAAGGAAGTGTAGGCTGCCTTTCCCTGCCTAGATAGACTGGCTAGGGTGGGAGCCCATATGGACAGTCCTCGACCCACTTACCTCAGTGTGACCATGTCATCCCGTCCCTGCCCATGTCTCTGTAGCACGTGGCTGAGGAGCTCCAACATCTGCTGCAGTGGTTGATGGGTGCTCCTGCTGGGCTCAAGATGAATCGGGCACTGGATCAGGTGCTAGGCCGCTTCTTCCTGTACCACATCCATCTGTGGATCAGTGAGTGCCTGATGGGCAGGGTTGGGCAGCCCAGTAGGGCTGTTTGAGGAGAACAGGGAACCCTAGCCAGGCCCTCTGCCTCCATTTTCTGGCTTCCCCTTTGTATGAAGCCGACTGTGTTGGGCCAGCTGCTCAAGCCCAATTCTGGGGCTAGTGGCTGGGTCTGTGCTCACTTGTGTCCTGAAGTGTTAGGTATCCATTCTCAGGAACTGGGGCTCCCCGTGCCTTGTTGGGCACTACTCATGGCTGAACTCCCTCCTGCAGGCTATATCCACCTTATGTCCCCCTTTATTGAGCACATCCTGTGGCATGTGGGCCTCTCAGCCTGCCTAGGACTGACTGTTGCCTTGTCCATCCTTTCGGACATCATTGCCCTCCTTACCTTCCACATCTACTGCTTCTATGTCTACGGTGCCAGGTACGTGTGTGTTCAGGTGTGGTTTTCTAAGCCATGGGCACACAACAGGGCCTGAGCAGATGGGTGAGATGTGGCACAGGGCCCCAGCTGGCCCTCATGAGCCTGTGTCCTACAGGCTGTACTGCCTGAAGATCTATGGCCTCTCCTCTCTGTGGCGTCTGTTCCGGGGGAAGAAGTGGAATGTTCTGCGCCAGCGGGTGGATTCCTGTTCCTATGACCTTGACCAGGTACCTACAGCTTTGAGCCTGCTGTCCTGGTCAGGGCAGCTACTTGGACACTACCAGTGACCAGCCTACTGCTATCCTGCGGCTATCCTCCAACAGTTGGCCTAGGGGGAGGTGCCAGCAGACCTACCTACTTCCCCCAGGTGGGCATAGGTGGGCCTGCTTTGGATTATTCCATTTGCTTACCCAGACCGGATACACACTTTTTCCTAACCTCATATTTGTCTGTGTACCCTGCTGGCTCTTTCCCCACAAGCCACCAGGTCCACAGGGTATGTGGACATACCCCCTCATGGTAAAGGGAACATGCTGCTCAGGAGGCCAGAAAATCCCAGCTGCAGTTTAAGGGTGGGTGTGTATGGCCCCCCTGGTTTGGGTCTTGTGAAACCAAGTGTGTTGGTCCTTGTTCCCCACAGCTGTTCATTGGGACCTTGCTCTTCACCATCCTGGTCTTCTTGCTGCCTACCACTGCTCTGTACTACCTGGTATTCACCCTGGTGAGCCCAGTACCTCCTGCCCTGGGGCCTACAGAACTTGGACTGGTCACTGCCCGAGCCAGCCACATGGGGGGATAGGCCATCTACCTCTTCAGGTCACACCATCATGGCTGTTCTGAACTCTCTGGGAACTATGTGCTGGCCTTAAAGCAGTTTTGGGGTCCTGCCCTGGAGAGGGCTGGCTACAAGGAGGTTAGGACCCAGAGTGGGTGGATGGGATCATAGAGGGACCCACCTCTAGTGAGCACCAGGGTGGACAGTGTGAGGTCAGTGATACCCAGATGGCTCAGGCCCTCCAGGTGTAAGTGTTGGGAGTGTGGATGCCCAGTCTCTGACAGGAAGGAGTGCCAGCTGCCCTGCTGCCAGCCCTTTAGTCTCTTTAGGGTGGAATCTGTTTTCTCCAGGGTTCCTGAGCCTCTGGCCACCCTCAGTGAGGGCAGCTCAAGAGCCTGTTGGGCTGCTCTCCTAGGCCTGTCTCATGTGTGGCTTCAGCCCCAGTCAGTGGCCCTGAATGTCCTCTTTGCTCCAGCTCCGGCTCCTGGTGATCACTGTGCAAGGCCTAATCCGTCTGCTTGTGGACCTCATCAACTCCCTGCCCCTCTACTCCCTTGGCCTTCGACTCTGCCGACCGTACAGGCTGGCCGGTAAGTGCTGGGTGCTGGGTGGCTGGCCTCTGGCAGATGGCACAGCATGCCCACAGCCCTTACAAAAGCACCTGCCTGAGAGAACTGGTGTATGTGGTATAGGTGAGCAGAGCAGTGCAGACAGGCTTGGCCCTGGGAACATGCAGTCTGCTCCGTCTCCCGAGTAAAACTCAGAAACATAAAGACCCGAGGCCTCATCCTTCCTGTAATATGTGAGGCTTGCTGCTCAGAGAAGTCTATCTCCATGTGTTTCTACCCTGTATGTCTGTTCTTTTGGTGACCCTCACCTTTGGAAGCAGGCCAGAATGAGGACTGCTCGACTGTAACAGGATCATCCTGTGCTGCCTGTAATCATCAACTGTCACTCAAGCTGAATCTCTGCATTCTGATCCCAGAGTCCTTGAGGGCAATCTATCTCCTTTAGGCATGAGGTGGTTGTGGTCAACCCATTTGTCTCTGGGCCTTTGGACACAGCAGGGACCCTAGGATTACCTGGTATAGCCAGTGTTCAAGATCAGGTGACTTCTAAGGTGACCACTACGCCCATTTGATAGGATGGGCAGATTCTTGGCTTTGAACCAATATCTAGGTCTGCCTGCAGGCATCTCCTTGCTGCTGAATGACTAAAAATCATCCTTCTAGCTAATTTCTCCATTAACTTCAGGAGGCCCAGGCCAGAGACTCATTTGCAATGTTGTACACATACCCTCTGCCTCCACTTCTTCACCTCAGACACAAGACAGGTGGGCCGCAGTAGGCCCAGACACAGCCTGGGATGCAGGGCCTCTTCCTCCCTAGCCTGGAGCCAATAGCTTAGGCAGGGCAGTTGAACTTTGCTCAGCAGGCCATGGTTCTGTCCCTTCTTACCTCACTGGCTTCAAGGAAGCTTCATTTTCTGCTTTTTGTTTTTGTTTTTGATTTTTTTTAAATATTTATTTATTTATTTATTTATTTATTTATTTATTTATTTATTTATCTATTTATTTATTTATTTATTATGAATACAGTGTTCTGCCTGCATCTGCAGGCCAGAAGAGGGCACAAGATCTCATTACAGATGGTTGTGAGCCACCATGCTGTTGCTGGGAATTGAACTCAGGACCTCTGGAAGAGCAGTCAGTGCTCTTAACCTCTGAGCCATCTCTCCAGCCCTTGTTTTTGATTTTTTTGAGACAAGGTTTTACTGTGTAACCCTGGCTCTTCTAGAACTCACTCCATAGACCAGGCTGACCTTGAGTCGAACTCAGAGATCTGCCTGCCTTTGCCTCCTGAGTGCTGGGATTAAAGTATGCCACCACTGCCTGGCTATTTCCTGCTCTTTTTAATAACTTTCTTCCTGGGCATTTCCTAGACTGAGAGCCCAAACTACACGCCAGGGCTGCTGTGGGTCCCTAAATCAGCCAGACATAGAAGTCATAAGACACTGAACCATTAATAGGGCATCTGCCACCCAACAAAGAGACAGATGGGAAAGGTGGAGGAGGAGAGAACCATGTGTGTCTAGGTAGGTCTGCTGCCACCCGGGTGGGCTTCAGTTGTTAGAAATTGCCATCTGCAACAGCCTCTGCTAACTCTGGGACCAGGGAGGCTAACTGGGGGTAGAGATTCGCCATCTTCCTTCCTAAGTATCTACCTTGCTTTCCTTATAGCTGGTGTGAAGTTCAGAGTTCTGGAACAGGAAGCAGGCAGGCCCCTCCGCCTCCTGATGCAGGTAAGAACTCCCTGTGCCCTCCACTGCTGCTCTGACCTGGGACCCCTTCCCACCATGCTCTGCTGTGTTCTGGGACGGCTGGGGTCAGCTGGTGTCACTTCAGCCAGAGTTGGATACAGGTAGAAGGGCCCAGTAGAGCTAAGGGTTCCCAGGCATCTGAGAATCAAAACTCACTGTGTCTAGGGCTTCCATCAGGGTTGGGGCACCTATTATGGTCTACATAGCTGATATCTAGTCTGGCCTGTGGGTGGGGTCCCCTTGTCCTGGTCCATGATCTGCCCTGGGCCCCATCGTACTCAAGGTTGTGATGAAGCAGAAATGACTTAGCCAAGGTCTCAGAACAAGCACTCATTTCCTGTTGGACTTGAACCCCTGGCTCTTTCACTGTTTTAAGTCTTGGATTCTTGGTCCCAGTGGGAGGGAACAGAATAAGTTTTGGGGGTGACCAGCCAGGTTTTGAGGTGTACCTTGGGCCAAGTCCAAGTGTGGTGTCTTTCAGTTGCTGAAGCATCTGCCTGGTCACCCTCCCAGGAGGCTCCCAGAAGCAGAGTGGACCCTAGGGTAGGGCATTACTGACCCAAAGGGACATTGAGCTCCCCCTGGCACCCTCCCTTCCTCGGGGGATCAAAGTGCCGTGTGGCCTGCTTCTCTGAGGATCAGCTTGGCTGTCTCACAGGCAGAAGTTTGTCAGGGCCTAGCTGGTCTTGTCCTACAATTGCCTAGCCAAAGAGTCCCCAGAGGGCCAGTCAGGCCCAGGGTGCCAGCCCTCAAGACCTTCCTCTGTAGACATAGCTGAAGCACCCATGACCACCCACCCTACTAATAATTACTCTGTCCTTACAGATAAACCCCCTGCCCTATGGCCATGTGGTGCGCACCTACCGCCTGCCTAGCTGTGGCTGCCATCCCAAGCACTCCTGGGGTTCCCTGTGCCGAAAGCTGTTCTTCGGAGAGCTCATCTACCCCTGGAGGCAGAGAGAGGACAAACAGGACTGAGCAGCTGGACACAGCCTACCCATAGCTACTACACAGCCATCGCGCTCCCTCTCTGCCCGAGAGCAGTGACCATGGGTTTATCTCAGGTCCCATGGGCCAACCAGACACTCTGTGCTGAATGTAGGCAGGTCTTACCTTTGAGATACTGCTCTGGCTTTCAGGCCCTGTGAGCTTCAGTCCTGTACTCCATCTCCCTAGCACAGTGGTTCTCAACTTTCCTAAAGCTGCGACCCTTTAATACTTACTGTTCCTCACGTTGTGATGACCTCCAGCCATAAAACTATTTCGTTGCTACTTCATAACTGTAATTTTGCTACTGTTATGAACTGTAATGTAAATATTTTTTTCCTATGGTCTTAGGCGACTCCTGTTGCCTAAGGGTCGTTCACCTCCTAAAGGCATCGCAGCCCACAGGTTGAGACCCACTGCTCTGGCACCACCTGTGCGGACCCACCTGCTTTATTGTGGTCGGTGCACTGAGCCTGATTCCTAGGAGTGCTCAGACTCTGGGATATGCTGGCAGGTGTCCTTGGCTGCTTTAGTGGGTGGGAGCATTCCTGGGTACCTGGTGCACTCAAGGAACCTCAGCAGAACGTTTCCATCTGGGGAGCGGAGGCAGCTGCTGATTCCCTGCCCCAGCAAACTAATCTCTCACTCTGTGCTTCACGGGTCTGCCTGTTGCTGCTCCCTGGAGATTGCTTTGTGAAGTTGCTGCTAATAGGCCACTGGGTGCCCTTTGCCTGAAGTCACACCGTACGGGGTGATTGGATACCTGCCTACCTGACTGCCTTGCTCTTGCGTAGTGCCTCATGTGGGATAGGCCCTTTGGCACAATATTCTTTCTTCTCTCATTGACCCATTATAGGACCAGACAGCTCTCGTCTGGACAGGCACTTCTGTGGCTCAGTCTGTGAATGACCTGGGGGAAGTGGAATGGCCAGGGTTCCCTGCCACTTAGTAGGAGCCCATGTGAGCTAGTCCCAAGCGGACAGGAAGCCTCATTGCCTGAGGGTCTAGAAGCATCTGCTGTGGGCAGGAGGGGCAGCCAGCCCTGCCTGTCTCTCAAGAGCACTCAGGACTATCCACATTGGTCATCTGTGCCTGCTTCCCTTTGCTATAGGCCACAGGAGGGTGTTGGTGAAGATGAATCCTGACCCTGTGGTGACAATAAAACCTCATGAATTTGGAGTACTAGCTTGGGTGTGATTCAAGTCTGACCAGGCTCTGGGTGCGCAGGCTAGGTGGAGCATTGTGTGACTCCATGATGACTGCCATCATTTCCTGCCTGAGGCTTCCACAATGGCTCTGCTGGGCGGCTCTGCAGCCTAAGCTCTTGAAGACATCTTAGACAGGTGAACAGACCTAGTGCTTCAGGGCTTCTGGCCATAGCTTCACCCTGGTTCCAGGGGCAGGCATATAGTCTGGTGGAGGAGGAGGGTGCATGAGGCTGCTCTGGGCTCTGAGTATGTGGATTCCATGCTAGGCAGAGTACTGACCTGGACTGACAGGATTTTTCTGTGTAGCCCTGGCTGTCCCAGAACTTGCTGTGTAGACCAGGCTGGCCTCGAACTCAAAAATCTGCCTGCCTCAGCGTCCCGAGTGCTGGGATTGAAGGCGTGTGCCACCACCGCCCGGTTTGAACTGACTCTTACCACCTGCAGCCTTCACAGGCCTCCAGGCCTGTTGTCCTGGTTAGGAGAGGAAGGCCTCAGTTTCTTCCTAGCCCGGGACTCCACAAAGGACCAGCTGGGAAGTGCCAAAGGGCCCTCCCTGTGTGATCAAGTGCCCATCTAGAGCTTGCTCAAAGTGGCTCTCATTTACAGTACTGGAGGTTACACTTTAGGTAGCCATCACCGCCCCCAACACACACACAGCTGTCTCTTGGTCCAAATGCAGAGGCCTTGGACCTGGGCTTCTTGGTAACCGTTTGGGGTGCATCTGTACACAGGTTACCACTTCCGGTGCATGCATCCTTTCCCCGCTCTGCCGGGCCACCCTTACACATCCTTTAGCTGCCTGCTGTCACCCCTAAACTCCTGGACTCCCGTCAGGAGAAGGTGCTGATCTCAGCCCAGCTGGCCCTTGTGCAGCCCTGTCATGAGATTTGCCTGGCAGCTGTCTTTCTGTGCAGCAGAGTGCTGGGCTGTCTGCCCTTCTGGGAACCAGTCAGGACCTGGCACCAGAGCTGGCAGAGGAAGCTACAAGAGTTGCCTCCTGCAGAAAGCTGTGTCCTTGGAGGTTTGTCTGAGGATTCTCAGACGGAGCCAGTGCACGTGTAACAAGGACTCTTGTCTGTGTCAGCATTACCTTGGTAGACAGGTGCCTAGTGCTGTCAGACCGGTGGCTTTCCCCAGGAGCTGTCAGGGTTCCCATCACAAGCTGCCTTCCTTTATAACTAGAAGCTTCTCTCCAGACACTTGGGACGCAGAAATGGCCTGCCCTCCTCATTTTTTCTCCACTAGCTGCAGTGTCAGTCCAGGTGTCTGGATCTGTCTACTGTGGGGCTCCTCCTTGCTGCCAGGCTAAGGCCTGGACTTCTGAGTCACTGAAACTTCTTTCTTTTTTGAAACAGGGTCTCATGTATCTCAGGCTGGTCTGAAGCTGGCTATGTAGCTAAGGATGACCTTGAGCTGCTGATCTGCCTGCCTCTACTTCTCGAGTGTTGAGATTATAGTTATGCAACACACAGCTTATGCAGTGCTCAGGATCAAACCCAGGGTTTCATGCATGCTAGACAAACTGTCAACTGAGTTCTGTTTCCAGCCCAACTGAAGTTTCTGTGGGTACCTCTGAGCTTCCTGGACACGGGGCCCAGGGTCTGTCTTCTTGTATGATTCCCAGAGCTCTCTGAGGACTTAGGGTCCCACCTAAGTGTGCTAGCTCAGTTCTCCTAAAGCCACTAATGCCACCATGGGAGCCACCTTCATGATTTAAATCTAATTCTTACCACCCATGAGTCCCGCCTCACAAGCTGTGAAGAAAGGTGTGAGCCTCCACCATGCTGGCTCAGTTCACTCAGACTCAGGCCCATCTCTGTTTCTGGAAATATTCTCCCAGAGAGCCTCAAGATAAAGTGTGACCAGTTCTCTCAGTATTCTTTAATATAGTCAAGTCAACACCGGAATTCACCTGCCACAGGCTGGCTGTGATTTATAGTCTCTGCAAAGGAGGACTGGGCATCTCTCTACCATCCCTTCCAGATAGACTCAGCACCAATGAATGAGCATCACTGTTTCAAGGCTTACACCTCAGAAGAGAGGTTCTCACAGACATTGCTGCCAGTTCAGGGGGTGAGAGCCATCAGAATATAGACTAGGCTGGGCACAGTGGCCCCTACAGAAGAGGATCTCACTGACAAGTAGGTTCTGGCTCTCTAGGGACTCCATCAACTCATCAGCTGAAGGTCAAGACTTTTTGGGTTGCTGTTGGCCTGTGAATGGGTGTGATATTTCTTACTAATCTACTGTGACCCAGAGTCCAGCAAATGGCCTCTCCTGGGCAAAAAAGTATAACATGAAAAAATGATGCAGGTAATAACTTCTGGGATCCTTTGGAGATTAAGAGTGAGATGAGAGCCGGGTGGTGGTGGCGCATGCCTTTAATCCCAGCACTTGGGAGGCAGAGGCAGGCGGATCTCTGTGAGTTTGAGGCCAGCCTGGGATACCAAGTGAGTTCCAGGAAAGGCGCAAAGCTACACAGAGAAACCCTGTCTCGAGAAAAAAAAAAAAACAAAAAGTGATCTGAGAAGTCTTGCTGGAAGGCCTCAGTGTGGTTCTGCACTTCTGGACCCAGGAGCTTCCACCCTACATACCCTGACCAAGAGAATAGCAGGAAAGCCTATCCCTGAAGGCAAGTGAGGAGAACTCTGTTAGTATTTCCCTGGCACTGCCCCTCACAGAAACTTTCCGGAATACTGTAGCAAACCAAGTGGCAGTCCACAGGGTCAAGATGCTCACAAAGGCCATGTCCTCAGCTTTGGAGGGAGCTAGTTACTCAGTGTGTGGCTGCCTTGAATGAAGGGTACCTGCTGCTGGAGGCAAGGCCTAGGCCCAGCAATCCCTTGGGGGAAAAAGAGGAAAGACCCCTTTCTATGTTGGTTTGTGTGTGTTTGAGGCAGGGCCTCTGTAGGCCAGGTCTTGAACCTGAGACAGTCCTCCTGTTCAGCCTCCCAAGTATACTGGCTGGCTTGTGTGTGAACGTGTTTAAACAAAATATAATTATTTTTTTGAGACCTCACATTTATTAATAGCTGGTGAAATATTGCCTGGAATTATTGGATTCCAGTTTCACTTTTTGAACATTTGTTACTTTTTAGCATCAACAGATTTAGTATGTGCCTGACGTTAACTGACGTTAGATTGACAGCTCTCCATCCACTGATCATTCAGTCTGCTTAATGTCAAGTACTTTGTGTCTTTTGCCATTCTCTTGAAGGATTTTCCACTGACCTCCTTTTGTTTGTTTGTTTGTTTGTTTGTTTTGTTTTTCGAGACAGGGTTTCTCTGTGTAGCTTTGCGCCTTTCCTGGAACTCGCTTTGGAGACCAGGCTGGCCTCGAACTCACAGAGATCCTCCTGCTTCTGCCTCCCGAGTGCTGGGATTAAAGGCGTGCGCCGCCGCCGCCGCCGCCGCCGCCGCCGCCGCCACCCAGCCACTGACCTCTTTTCTGTACTATCTGAGAAAACCAATCCATGGGGATGGCAGTAATAGTGTCGATGAAGTGTTCACACAGCTAAAGAGATATTTTCAGTGTGGGAGTCTGGTAGATGTCCCTTTCCTCATGCTTATCCCATCACAGCTCAGCATCTTCTGTAAACTGTACCTGCTCTCTGTGGCCTCCAGACAAGGCAACTCTGCTTCACCCAGCTTGGCCATTGTTGGCATGAGGATCTAAAAAGGTTTGTTTCTAATTATACATTTGTGTCTGTGTGAGTGTATGTGCATGTGAGTGTGGGTGCCCAAGATGGGCACAAGTGGGCATTGGATCCCCTGACAATGGAGTTGTAGGTGGTTGTGAACTGTGGGGTGTGGTACTGGGAACCAAACTCCAGACCTGCACAAGCACAGCAACCATTCTTAACATCTTTCCAGCACTTTCCTTTAAAGCTAGTGTTTTGTTTTGTGGCCCAAGCTGATCTTGAACTCATGGCCATCCTCCTGCCTCATCCTCCTGAGTACTAGGACTATAGGCATGTGACAGTCAACCTGCTGGGCTGGGGCTTCTTGCCTGGTCCTGTTCCTTGCCTTACTGGCAACCAGGGGAGATGTCAGCTGTGGGCATGCTCAGTACTCCAAGGGCACCTGATCACTGGTAGTGTCCTGGCTTTCCCTGTACAGATTTGTGTGTCAGAAAGAGTTGTCATCATATGAAGAACCAACACCCAAGTTCCAGGGGCTGCATCTGAGTCAGCTTTGATGGCAACCTCTCTTTTGGCCTCCTGTCTCAACTTCCCAAGCAGCTGGGATTATAAGCTTGTGCCATCACACACAGTTTATTATCTTTTTTTCCCCCTAGACAGTGTTTCTCTGTGTAAACCGTGTGTTACTTTTGTTTATGCTACATTTTATGTAAAGATATGTTGCATTTGTTTGACCTTGCCTGCCTAAGGCACCCGATTGGTCTAATAAAGAGTTGAAAGGCCAGTAGCTAGGCAGAAGAGGGATAGACAGGGCTGTGAGGCAGAGATAATAAATAGGAGAAATCTAGGCTTGAGAGGAGAAGAAAGAACAAGAGAAGGAGAAAGGGTGATGCCTAGAGCAAGAAGCCAGGCGAAAGCCAGCCAGACACGGAGAAGCAAAGAAAGTAAGGTATACAGATGTAAGAAAGTAATAAGCCCCGAGGCAAGGGTAGATAAGGAGAAACAGGTTAATTTATGTTAAAAAGAGCTAGCCAGAAATTTAAAACTAATAATAAGTCTCTGTGTCATGATTTGGGAGCTGGTTGGTGGCCCAGAAGGTACAGAAGGGTGCTTTGTCTTTTGTGTATATCCATGATCACATGTGTGCCTTGTGCCTGTGAAGGTCAGGTGTAGATCCCTTGAAACAAGGCAGTTGTAAGCCATCATGTCGGTGTTGGTGTTGGGAACGAACCAACAACAAGTGCTCTGAACCTGCTGAGTCAGCTCTTCATCCAGCACCTCATTTTATCTATTATTTGATTGTACATTCAGGAAGTCTGCACAGACAGGTAAAAACTGTTCCAAGGTACAGTGTGTGTGTGTGTGTGTGTGTGTGTGTGTGTGTGTGTGTGTGCAGCACACGTGCCCATGTTGTGTAGAGGTCATAGGACAACTTTCAGAAGTCAGTTCAGGTCTTCCACCTTAAGACAGGGTTTCTCCTGTTCACCGTTTGCTGCTTATTCCAGGCCAGCTAGCCCTGGAACTCCTGGACAAGTTTTTTGTCTTTACTTCCTTTCTTACAATAGGAGCCGGCGTGGGGGTCTGGGGGGGAACTACAGATGGAAGGCCACAGGAGAGAGAGCGAACTCATATCTTCAGGCCTATATTGCAAGTGCGCTGGCCCCAACCTGTGTTCACTTTTTGAATTTCTTGCAATTGATTAAATGGCTTGTGAATGCACTCATGAAGAACGCTGTCCATGGCCCTCTAGTCCGCTGGCCGAAAGAGTGCACCTGCCACGGGTTGCCTACCCTGGAGTCAGCTGGGCCAGCGCTGTCCGTCGCTGATTCACAGCTCCAGGATCCCCACTGAGAAAGAGGTCCCCACAAGAGCCCCTGCAAGTGCAGCTCAGAAGAGGACTTCAGCAGTCACCCGTGGGCCTAACCTCTCGGCCGCAGCTCCGCCCATTCCACAGCCAGGAGGAAGTCCCGCCTTCCAGAATAGTCAACCTGGGAGAGAGCCTCGCCCCCTGCCGCGAAGAGCACTAATTGGCTGTCCCCGCCCTGCCCCCGGGGAAAGCGAGCCCGAGGTGGTACATCCAAGTCGCGTTTCTTCCCTTCTGGGTCTCTGTGAGAGCAGCCACCGCCGCTTGATAGATAGCCTGGCCCTCCCGGACTCAGCCATGTCGCCTTTGGCAGGAGCTGTCGCTGTCCGCAGCTCGTCCACGGAGGGGGAGGGGCAGACTTGTGCAATGTTTGACTCTTGATTGGCGAGAATTAGGAAAGGGGTGGGCCTAGAAGGGTATGATCGATGGGAGATGGCACAAATGCCTTAGCAGCAGTAGCCAATGGTGATAAGGAGGGGGCGGGAGGCCAGGCGGTTGCAGGGTCCGTGAACCGGGCTGCTATGGCTCTGAGGCAGTCTGCAGGAAGCAGTAGGGCAGTAGTTCGGACGGACGTGCAAGGGCGGCCAATGAGTCAGGGAAACCAGGGGAAGTAACCAATGGTCACTGTGAGGAGGCGGGGAATAGCCAGCCTCCGCAACACTGTGTACGAAACGGCGGGGACGGGACTGCGTTGACGGACAAGGGTATAGACCAACAGTGGTGGGAGAGAGGGTGGCAGGAGACCAATAGTAGTGGCGAGTGGGCAGGGCGGGGCGACCGGGGGCTCGGCGGCACTGTGTGTGGGGAGACGTGGGGGCGGGGCGACCGTGACGGCCAGGCTGCCAGGCCAATAGCCCGGGGAGGGCCGGCGGAGGGTGGCCAATGGCGGCTGCGCATCCGGGGGCGGGGCTGCGGGGCTGCGCGGCGCTGTGCGGGAAGCGGCGGGCGGCGGCGGCGGCTAGGAGGCTGAGGTGAAGCTGGAGGCAGCTGGGTGGGTGCGCTGGGGGCGTTGGCCTGCGGGCGGGAGCCTTAGCGTGGAGACCGCACGACCGCTCACCAGCCTTCGCCCGCAGGTCTGGCGGTGGCGCCGTGGGCCGCGGTGCGGCGGGCGGGAGGATGGGCACCCAGGGCAGCCCGGTGAAGAGCTACGATTACCTGCTCAAGTTCCTGCTGGTGGGCGACAGCGACGTGGGCAAGGGCGAGATCCTGGAGAGCCTTCAGGACGGCGCAGCCGAGTCCCCGTACGCCTACAGCAACGGTAGGCCGGGTTTGGCGGTGGGCGCGCGGGGCGGGAGCGGCCTGGCGCGGGCGCGGGCGTCCTCTGCGCGTGTCGCTGCAGTACCCCCCAGTCCGGCCCTGGAGAGCTGTCGGCGAGCGGGCGCGGGCCGGGCTGGCGGCCACCGGCTAGTAAGAAGTCTCAGCGGCAGGTCTTTGGAGTCCCCTGGGGCCTGGAATGGGCCGTGCGGCAGATACCGCACCATGGGCCGGGTCCTCACCGCACTGTCCCTGAGCAAACGCTCACGGATACCGCACCCTATGCAGGGAGAAAATACACTGGCCGCGGTGTGATTCTTGTTAACTTCCGGGTACACGACAAAAAATACACAAGGTAGATTGCATCACTGGTACTTGCCTGAGCTTGTCTCTTAATTTGGGTGTTTAAGGTAAAATTGTAGTTAACAGTAGGTGGGACTGGATCACAGGCTCCTGGGACTGCTGACTCCGGAGGAATTAATGTGCAGTGGGCCTTTCGTTCTGCTATCACTGGATTCATTTTACCTTCCTGTTCTCTTCCTGGGTCCCTTTTCTCTGCCTCTTTGCCTCGTTCTCTGGGGTCTTGTTAGTCCTGTCTTACTGCTCCGAGCACTGGCAGTTTTGAAAATAACAGCTGAGCGTGTGAGCAAGACTTCTCCCACTCTTAAGACTTAGGACTTGTCGAGGGTGCTGATCACCAGTACTTCAGTGGAGGACCTTTCCTTCTGAGTACCAATGTTGGATCTTCTCAGTACCTCCTTCCCAAGCTCCTGCTCTCATCCCCGGTCTACAGCAGACATCTTTCAGTGCAGGAAAGGAAGAGCCATGGTTTTCTTTTCTGGGGCATGTGAGGGGACCCCTGCCCCAGCGGGGCCACCCTGACTGCCATTTGACTGGATGTCCCAGGGTGTGATGGTCCTGCTCAGATGGGCTTTGGAGTTGCTTTTCCAGCAGTGAAGTGTGGGAAGGGATAGGCTTGGCTTCGGAAGCGCTTAGTGTTAACTTGTGCTTTGGAGAGTCAGCTTGTGGCCCCTGCCCCCTTCTGACGAGCTCCACCACAGGTACACACAGCCTCCAGTCGGACCCTCTTTCCTCATCTCCTCCGTCAACTGTATATTGCCATATTTCCTGTGACATGCTAACTCAGGTTGGGCCAGTAGCCCATAGAGCGTATAGAGATGTGAGCCTAACTGTGGGTTGCTTGTCACAGGGTACCATTCACCAAATGCTCTTACACCTCGCAAGCCGTGAGGCCAGGGCACACCCGCAGGTCCGTGTGTGGCTCCTGCAGGCTGGAGCGGAGAGGGAAGAGTGCCTCGGCCATAGCAGCACATTTCTTGTGTCGGGTTAAAATGCATACAGCACAAATATCAGGTCTTTGTGGCCACAGCACTGGGTCACTGACCCAGGGAGCGTTCTTCACTGAGTGAAGTTGGTGGGTCTGAGAACACCTGGGCCCTCCTCATAGAGGAGGCATTTGGAAGAGATAAAGTAGTTGGTTCTGGAGATTGAGCACAATGTGTTCGCTGTTGAAGGAACTGGACTTCTGTTTCTCTTAGACGATAGGTGAATGTTTCATTTTCCTCATCATTATTAAAAATCTTCAGGCCAGGCAGTGGTGGCTCACGTCTTTAATCCCAGCACTTGGGAGGCAGAGGCAGGCAGATCTCTGTGAGTTTGAGGCTAGACTGGTCTACAGAGTGAGTTCCAAGACCATCGAGGCTACACAGAAAAACCCTGTCTTGAAAAACAAAACACAATCTTCAGTATTGGGGGCTGGAGAGAGGGCTCAGTGGTTGAGAGCACTGGCTGCTCTTCCAGAGGACCCAGGTTCAGTTCCCAGCATCCACATGGTGGCTAACAACTGTCTTTAACTCCCAAGATCTGACACCCTTACACAGACATATGTGCAGGCAAGACAACAGTGCACATAAAATAAAAATAAGTATAAGAAAATTAAAAAAAAATAAGTGTAAAAAATTACACACACAAAAAAAAATAGCCGGGGATGGTGGCGCATGCCTTTAATCCCAGCACTCGGGAGGCAGAGCCAGGCGGATCTCTGGATCTCTGTGGGTTCGAGGCCAGCCTGGTCTACAGAGCGAGCTCCAGGAAAGGTGCAAAGCTACACAGAGAAACCCTGTCTCGAAAAACAAAACAAAACAAAACAAATTTTAAAAAACCACCCTTCGGTATGTACATTTTAATCTTAATCTTTTTTCAAGCTTCAGGGTTCCTCTGATTAGCAGCAGGGTGGTCCTCACCTGGGAAGGGGCCTGCTGCTCCATATTGGCCCTGAGCGCCTTCTTGCTCACAGCTGAGTTGCCTGTCTTAACATCTCGTCTAGCTTGTTCCTCAGGTGTGAACATCGCTCTCTCTCTGACTTCACAAACATATGAGTCATCAAAACAGCTTTTTTTTTTTTTTAATTAGCACTGGCACCTGAAACAGTGACATTATGATACTGTGACCATATGCCTAGCATCTGCAGGAGCTCCCAGGTCTGGTGATATAGATGCTTGTGGTTAGGATCTCTGTGGAGTTGGAAACATCGGGGCTTTGAAGATGCAGCAGGGACTCCAGAAGAAAACAGTCTCTTCTCTTTTAGATGGAACAGGGCATTCTGCAGAGAGCTTCCACCTGGGCATCCACAGGGGAATTGCACTCCAGAGCAAAGGCATTGTGGATTCTCAGTTATGGGAGAAGACATAAAAGAGTGGCGGAGGGTGGGGTGGAGGGTGGGGTGGGGGATGTTCTTTGAGCAGCTTCTGCTCACAAACATACAATGAATGGTTATCCCTCTGGTTCAGATGTATGGCCCTGGAATGATAGGTCCATGTTGGCCTTAAGTCAGCCAACTGAGTAGTCATCCTTGAATCCAGGAAACATTATTGCTATAGCACACAAGACTATCCTTATTTGACCTTATTGTTATGGGCTTGAACATCCTCAGTTAAGACAATTACATCTTGCTCTAGCTCCTACAAAGATGCCTGAGTGTTAGGTCCTTCAGGAAATCCATTGTGGCTTATATGTTCATGGCCTGAAAAGATCCACATTCATTAATGAGTCCATGGGTGTTGTTTCATTTCTCTGTTCCTTTGGGAGTTGGTGTTTATAGAAAGAAGCTGCAGAGTGATGCCATTGTCGTTTGAGCCCAGGGAATAGAGAGGGAGGCAAGGTATAGGACAAACTGGCATTGGGTGTTGCCATGAATGAATTTGATGGTTATGGAGATGTCTGTGGGATCAGATGATGCATGCACCCTGAAAGAGTGAGGATAATGTGTGCCTATGTTACAACATGCTGTGAGGTCCCTGCTAGATAGAGTCAGGGCTATGATGTCACATCGGTGACCCACAGGCCAATAACATGCTAATCCTAGCTCCATGTTTCTTCTCATTTGGTTTGAAGTCCATTTCTCTAAGTGACGGGTTCAAGGGGAATTTGTTTTTGTTTTTTTGTTTTTTGTTTTTCGAGACAGGGTTTCTCTGTGTAGCTTTGCACCTTTCATGGAACTCACTTTGTAGACCAGGCTTGGCCTCGAACTCACAGAGATCTGCCTGGCTCTGCCTCCCGAGTGCTGGGATTAAAGGTGTGCTGCACCACCACCACCACCACCACCACCACCACCACCACCACCACCGCCCAGCTCAAGGGGAATTTTTAAATGTTTTATTATTATTATTATTATTGTTATTATTATTATTATTATGTGTATGTGTACATGCTATGGCACTCATGTGGAGGTTAAAAGACAGCTTTTGACCAGACGTGGTGGCACATGCCTTTAATCCCAGCACTCAGGAGGCAGAAGCAAGTGGATCTCTGTGAGTTCAGGACAGCCAGAGCTGTATAGTGAGACCCTGTCTCAAATATACCAAAATAAATAGGTAAATAAATAAAATAAGGAAAAAAAAAAAAAAGACAGCTTTTGGGAATTGTTTCTCTCTCCTCTCTCCCACCTTTATGTGGGATTTGAGAATTGAACTCAGGTCAGGCTTAAGCAGCAGACACCACATGAGTGTTTAGTATTTCTGTGTGCCATGTGTATTCCTGGTGCCCATGGAAGCCAAAAGATGACATCAAATATCTCGGGACTGTAGTTACAGATAGTTGTGAGTCACCATATGAATACTGGTAATTAAACCCAGGTCATCCTCAAGAGCAACAGGTACTCTTAACTGCTGAGCCAACTTTCCAGCTCCCCTCACGGGGAAATTTAGAACACTCTTCTGTATTTTCTGTTTTTGGACCTGCCTTTACAGCATATACTCCACATGTCTCATCCATTGCTTTATCTCCAGTGCTAGCATGAGGGTTGCATAGACCATTTTTCTTTTTTAATCATTTTTTTTTTAGACAGGGTCTTGCTTATGTACTTCAAGCTGGACTTATATTTGCTGTCCCGCCTCAGCCTCCCTAGTGCTAAAATTACAGTTCCACTGTGCCTGATCTAAACGTGTATTTCTGAGTCAATGAACAAACTGTATACCACTTCCCTATACTGACTGTGTTACTTAGTGCTGGTCCTCATGATCACCATGGTAACCCCTCACAATCCTTTCTCGTCTCTGTTCAAGACCGGACACTTTGGTCTAGATTTTATTGTAGATACTCTGGGGTAACTTATTGGGGGGGCGGGGTGTCTACCTTTCCTATGTTAGATGCCAGATTTTCTGGCAGATTGGTGGCCCCAGGAGGAATAGGAAGGAGCTGTCATTGGTGCAACAGCCATTGCCTCCAGTGTGTGGTTTGTGCCAGGCATGCTGCTAAGCATGTCTGTAGTCATCATTTAATCTTTGCCAGTACCAGGATTCCCGTCTTACAGATGAGGCTCTAGGAGTGCTGCTCTTTCCTGGGTGGTGTGGTCCTGGGTTCTAGCCTCACTGACAGGGACAATGACAGGCAGACCTCAAACAGTGGAGCGGTGGCACTTAGTGGTTTGCCTCTCCTTACCTTCCTGGTGCCTGAGGTTGCCAGACAGCCACTGCTTCTGCCCACTTTATTTGAGATCCACACCTTGGAAGACC